TGAAAAAAATAACAATAAACATGAAAGTGTTACATAATTAAAATAAACATGAAAATGTTACATAATTAAAATAAACATGAAAATGTTACATAATTACAATAAACAGAAAAATATCACATATTTATAATAAAGATGTTTGTTTGTGTTGCAATTAAGCACAAAGCTACACAATGGGCTATCTGTGCTCTGCCCACCACGGGTATCGAAACCCGGATTCTAGCGTTGTAAGTCCGCAGACATACCGCTGTGCCACTGGGAGGCAATTATAATAAATGTTTATTATATATGTTCTTTAACAAAGAATGAATACATAATTAAAACAAATCATTTAATCAATAAAGGAAATAATCACAATACCCGGCATGGCCAGGTGGTTAAGGCACTCGACTCGCAATCTGAGGGTCGCGTGTTCGAATCCCCGTCACACCAAACATGGTCGCCCTTTCAGGCGTGGGGGCGTTATAAAGTTACGGTCAATACCACTATTCGTTGGTAAAAGAGTGGCCCAAGAGTTTATGACTAGCTGCCTTCCCTCTAGTCTTACACTGCTAAATTAGGGACGGCTAGCGCAGATAGCCCTCGCGTAGCTTTGCGCGAAATTCAAAACAAACAAACAATAATCACAAAATCCTTTTAACAAAGAAAATATTTAATTAAAGCAATGCAAGCACAAACATAAAGAACGAAAATGTAGAGATACCTGTATACAACCTCAGAAAAACAATTTAAACGCAAAAACAAAATGCAGAGATTTAAGAATATAAAAACTATATACTTACTCATCCAGGGCAGCCACATTTATTATAGCCCAGCCAGTTCCTTAATGGCAGCAATTATCTTTTTGTTGGTGGATGATGTTGCTCACTTACCTCAGCCGAGTTGACTTTTGCCATACCTAGTCCTCCTCTTGGCCTCCATACGTTAGGCCATCATCTTTTAATAATGGTGCCTGAGAATGGGATCTGTTGGAGGATTAGCCGTTATATGATGGTGGTTTTTGAGTTGGCAAACAGTTTCATCCCGGGCTGCTATTGGGTGATTTTCAAGGCCTTTTTGGTGACAGTTTGACAGCTGCATCTACTGGCGTCCCATGTTTCTCAATCAAGACTCTGGACGTCGAGGCCTGGTTGATCCTGATGGATTGGATTGCTTCAGTCACGGCAGTAGAGTGATGGTGTAGTCGCTATCATTCCTATAGTGGTTGGCTTCAATGATGCAGTGGCTGAGGTATTCTTTGGTAACTCCTCGAGGAGACCTCAACTCCAAGAAGGTCCTGCTAGAATTTAGTGCATATTTAGTGACGTCGAGTCATTGGACATCCTCAAAAGACATCAAAGTGTGGATCTCTGTATTCAGACGACCTCCACTCTTCCGTGATGGTGACCATATGAGGCCTACTTTCAGATGTTGAGACAGTCACTGGCTGAGGTGAGGACATCTAGGACATCACCACTAATATGTACAACGAGGGCTGAGCTGCAGAGGCAGTAACTACTTCTGCACGAAGTGATTCGTCCTCTGGGCTAGCCCGATCACCAACTCTACAAGGTCCCATAAGTCAGGTGATTCTGCCAATAATGCATCTCCCTCTATCTCCACCAGACGAAAAATCAAGCCAGTTCCAGGTATCCTAGGGTTTGTGGTCTATCTCTTTTCACAACAAAATATATATTTTTAGTAATTGGCTTTCCTTGTTTGCAAGATATCAAAACTTGGGCTATAGTTTGGCTAATACTTCTGGATGATTTGAGGAGCAGGACAAACAGATTTGATCAGAACATGAACTGAAATACAAAAGGGCTGGATTGAAAATGTTAGGTCAATGAAATTTAATTGGTAAAATGATCAGCTGGATGTGTAGGTTGATTAGGTTCATCACCTGATTGTCACAACCATTACTTGACCATAAAATCTACCTTTAGAGACTGAGTCATCCTTGAGACACCTTGATTAAGTGTCACTTCTATAGTGTTCACGTGTGCTCGTGCAAAATACATCATAGAACAACGAACTCTATGTAAAGTGGGTCCTACACACATATATACACTAACCTGGATCAAGTAAAATTAATTCTTACTTTAGATCATTAGAGTCACAGAAATCTCCATTGCCTTTCTTTGTGGACCTTCTTTCAATTACAAGTTTAATCCTACACCTCTGCCTTGATAAAACGTGACTCGATTTAGTATGATCCTCATTATAATACTAAGATCGTGGATCCTATTTTTTCATGAATATCTTTTCGTTTAACATTGGAGAAGAAAAGAACACACCAAGATTTTGTTTCATATTCGTTTTATTTTTTCAGTGATTTTATAATTTTGTTATTTTTCTAATCATGTTTACAAATTTCTTAAATGAGGTTTATGCACTGTCAGCATAGAACTGATGTAATGGAGATCAGAGCACAGAAGTAAAATTAAAAATAACTTTTAATTAGTAGTTAAAAACACAAATTTATATTATTCGTTTAGGTTGTAGTGATATAACATACAACTCATGTAGCAATGTTGCAATTTTTTAAGCTTCACTCCAGGTGTGCCACTTTTTGCACTATCCTATTACTCTTACAGTATGCATTTTCTTGTATCATTGCTGCCTCTTGTACTGAAGCAACCTTAAAAAGTGTTTTCATGAAAGTGACTGTGGTAATTGAGAAGTAGTTTCAAAATGTAATCCATACTTACTGCTAGAGACTACTACCCAGTAGCTCAGAAAGCAAGGAATGCTACTACCTTTCAATCATCAAGTGCTGGACATAATGGTCATCCCAGCTGATTAATCATGAGAAAATCACATAGTTTAGTGCATATGCTATATGGTGAACATCACTTGAAAACTCTGAAACCACTTACCTTCAGTTGGAAATCTTTTGACTACCTGACTATCGGAGCTGACGTTTGGATTCAGTCCCAGCAGTATTGGTTGGGAGGTCGGCATCAATAGTTCCATTGACCGTCGGAGCTAACAGTCGCTTTTGGATCTGATGTTTCTTCATATAGCTTATTCATATAGCCAAATGGGTGTTTCAGCTTTTACCTCCTCATATTCATTGTTGAAGTGGGATAAGACAGAGTTCTCATCATCATCCAACGTGAATAACGTTTCATCTAACTCTTCATGATCAAATCAGTTCAACAAAGATTTGTTGGTAACGTTCAGACGCAACTGATGCCATACCTTTGCACAGCCTTCGGTTGCTGTTTATCATGCATTAAAAGAACGACTCAGATTACAAAATGAAATGTGGTCCATCCAAAACCATGAGGTTCCCATGCAGCTGGCACATATCAAAGCCACACACAGTCTCCACTTTGGTAAATCTATTTTTTCACTGTCTTATCATAGCATTTTTTTTCTGGCAGTTGGCAGCCTTTTCTAGTTTTTGACATACAAACTCAAGTACATCAATTCAAGCCCCCACTGGCTCAACGATACGTCTGAAGGCTTACAATGCTAAAAATTGGGTTTCAGTACCGTGGTGGGTACAGCACAGATAGCCCACAGTGTAGATTCGTACTTAATAATAAACAAACATTAACTAACACAGACCTCAGCTCCACGTGTTCATGTGAAGACTCTGAGATGTCCACTCTAGAGAATGAGATGCACTCAAAGGCCCTTTTTTGCCTCTATTGGACCCCAAACACCTTCGTGGATCGCCCTTACATTGGCAATATACCTCCTGGCTCACAATTGCCCCATGATCCACTCAGCACTCACTGGCTCTCGTGTAAGCGAGAGAGCTCAGGTTGGTGAATAGCACCAACCAACAGTGTTTCCAGTCTTTCTTTTTTGTGATATTGCTACCAATGCTTGGGTTGCTATGGGTTAAATCGGCATGGAAATCATATACAGACCACCCAAGTGGTTCCAGACACTTCATATACCTGAACTTTATAGCAAGCTTCAGATTACTTCGGCTCTTTAAGGAAGAATTCTGTCTACCACCGATTTGGGTGCACTAAATGTTGGCAGTTCTTTCTTCTGAATCGTGGTCGCACTGAGATTACATTCATAGATTTTGAAAAAGTGTCAAAAGTCCAGCGTCTATATGATGACTTTTCCTATACATAACTACTCTCTTGGACAACAATTTCCTGTCGATGATCAACTAGCTCTCCCTCTAGGTTGTATATCCTTCTTATCATTGAAAATGCCATTTTCTTAAGAAAAAATAATAATTGATAACAACGTCAAGTTAAGGGCAGTACACACACTAGCAACTATCAGCAAAGACAAAGTACATAATAATCAATATTCTGTAGTGATGTTATCAAAATTTTTTGTTCCTTATGCACTCTCTGATAAACTGAAAATACTTGTAAGCTATATTGGATAAGTCCGCCACACAGAAAAATTCATTCAAGATATGGAATTATGAAACAGTGCTTAACTTGTAATGGCCGTGTTTAAGCTACGGAATGACCAGATTGAACACAATGAAAACAATGCTTATTACACACTTTAGACAAAAACACAGTGTGTGTACTTGCTTAGTGAACAAGAAACAGTCGCTTCTTCCTTGGTTTTCTCTCGTTGATCACACGATGAAAGCCCTGTGAAGGCTAGGTGAAGGTTAGCACCAGGATAACTAAATGCAAGGTCTGTATCTTCAAAGTATGTTACTTACACAGATTAGAATTTTGTTTGTTTGTTTTAGAGCAAAGCCACATTGGGCTATCTGCTGTGTCCACTACGGGGAATGGAACCCTGGATTTTAGCTTTGTAAGTACGTAAATTTACCGCTGTTCTACCGGGGGACCAAATTAGAATTAAAAGTAACATAACGAATACACGTTTCTGACTTTAAAATGATTAAAAACTAGAATGCATCGATTCCCAAGTAGGTACTTTCATTAGTAACTATATTTTAGGCTTTATGATTTATATTTTGGTATTAGTGTTTAATACTATCCCGAAAACCTTTAAAAATTTTTTTCTTTATTTATATTATAGAATTACTTTTGTAATAATAATTTGTTTTTCTTTTATGACTTTTATTTATTAGATGACGCTGTTGTTGCAGAAAGAGTAATTTTATTGGGAATGTTAATTTGTAAGTTAGCTATCTCTTTTTTAAAAATTATTATTTCTAATTTTCTTTAAGTTTGAAGCATTGATGTGCCGTAGTGAGATTGTACAAATGTTTGTTACGTTGTAATATTATCAGTTTCAATTGACATTTCGGAATTGTCCATGTTTTACCGTTAAGCCTAACTGGTAATATTACAAGATAAACATTTGTACAATCTCATTACGGCACATCAATGCTTAAAACTTAAACTTTTTAAAGAATATTAAACATTTTTTTGCAAAGCAATTTGAAAATAATAATAATAAGTAGAAAAGAGATATTTAAATTACAAACTAATGTCATGAATGTTTTACTGTAATTTGTAAAACTTAGTCAAAAGTTAGTGAGTTACTTTTGTAAAACGTCTTTATCGTAGGCTAAAGAAGTACGATGGCGGATGATGGTAGACATGGAAGTAATGCCGTCGAAGTTACTCACCATTTCAATGCTAAAAATGCCAAACTTATAGCATTGATTACTGTTGTGGGATTTCTGGTTTACCACGGTCTAATACATGTAACATATGGTGAGCAGGTTGGGCATTGTTACTAACTTAGTAATATTTTACTTATTAATCGTTAATTAAAATTAAGTTAATAATATTACTATAAGTATTATATATCAATTGTGAAAACGTAACTAGTTAAATTACTCTTTGCTCTTTTGTTGTGACTTACATTTGTCAAAAAATTATTTCAGTTATTTCAAATTATTTGACACTGTATCAGTGTATGACAGAAATACAAAGAAAGATATGTTATTGCTTTAACCTTATCATTACCTTTATTTGTCACTCAAAAATTGTGACTTGATTAAGATCTGTGAAAATATTCTCATTAAACACATATTAGCATGTCCAAATGCACTTTTTCTTTTGGACACATTATCATGTTTTTTGGCATTATCCTCTAAAATGTCAAAATAATTGTGGTTTTACCAACCATAAAATGAGATTTTTGTTGTCACTTTCAATTTTCAACTTCAAGCAAAGTGGTAAGCTGAAACAGGAAACAAGAGTACTGTTTAGTACCATCTAGCAAAAGCAAAATTAAATAACATTACATTTAAAAAATAAAAATAATGCATTACGTTTAGATTTAAATGTATTCTTAATAATAAATTTAAAAAATTCAATTCATTATATTGTTACATTACTGATAAAAGTAATATTATAGTAATACATTGTCCCAGCACTAGTGGTGAGTTTCTGAGTTCATGTAGTTGTTTTTTTTCTTTATTAAATTTAATAATTTTTCTTAAGCAAAGGGAAACCATTTATACTAAATAATGGCATTAATGCCATTGATAATATGTTTATAATATTAAGTATTTAATGTATATTTCCCCTTGTAAAGACTGCAGTATAAAATGCTTATATCATCATTAGGTATTACTTAAGTTGCTGTTCTTTACTAAGATGTTAAACTCAGTCATCAGTTATTTTGTCACATACAGTTATTAAAATTTGGTACAAGTTTGCCAGTTCTCTGTATTGAGTATTGTTATAGGCAAACTCATAAATTTATTTAATATCCGGACCCAACTATTAGTGATTAATATGTGAACAAATTGTTAATTTCAGAATTAACTTGTACACTTGAGAAGGGTCAGGAGTGATATAACTGAAGTATTCAAAATTATTATGAGAATTGATGAATGGAGGCATCATATATTTTCATGTTTAATTCTGAAGGTGAAGGACAAAGAGGTCATAAAATTAACATTTCGGAAAGATCAGAGGCATCTCTAGTTGAGATAGTTTTATTTCTTCAGTATTTAATGGAAGACTTTTGAAACGTTGTTCCATACACTTGTGTTTTTAGAACAGGCAGTTGTTGTCCATTACAATTTACTCATCAAGATGGTAAATGTATGAATGAGTTGCTCTCAACAATTGTAGAGGCTGCAACTTTTAAGTGTTTAAGAAAAGGACATGAATATTTGAGGGCTTAATGCTACATTTTGTGATTAATTACTTTTTTCATTGTTGGAGTAGGTTTGGAGTTGGGGCATCCTTGATGAACCTAAAGGCCCTTTTATGCCCCATAATTGGTGAAGATTATATATGTATGTAAATTATGATTACCCTTGAAGGGGTGAAATCTTTTAGTGCATAGTATTTTCATGCATGGTTAGAAATAGGTGAAATTCTTTTTTTAAAGTAGAAGGGAGGTATTTATTATATGCTTTATTTTTATGGTGTCTGCTATAAGTATAGTTGCAGTTGAATGGGTGGGGGTTGAAATGTGCATGCCATGCCCTTTTACAGTGCCATTGAACATGGTATTACATATTTGATGTCAGAGATATCAACTGTTCATTTTACCCTACGTTGCTGATTAAGTGATAGTTTGTGATAGAGGAGAGTAGATAACAGATACGATATACAAGGAAACTGAAAAACTATAGATATCATTTTGGAGATCCTAGAGACTATGCAAATGCAATATTCAAATTGTATGATGGACAAAAGTATTTTTATTATTCAGAAAAATGTCACCCTGCACTCTGACTTGTCAGAGTCAAACTGATGTCAATAATTACACACATCTTGAATACAAATGCATTTATAATGCATCTCATTTTTTGTATACAACATGCTTGTACATTTGACTAAAAACTTGCCACATTTCATGTAGATACAGACAGTAGGTGTGGAATTATAGTCAACCTTCCTTCTCTGTTTGGTTAATTATCCAGCTCTAACCCAGATAAAAACTTGCCACATTTCATCTAGATACAGACAGTAGGTGTGGAATTATAGTCAACTTTCCTTCTCTATTTGGTTAATTATCCAGCTCTAACCAAGATAAAAACTTGCCACATTTCATGTAGATACAGACATTAGGTGTGGAATTATAGTCAACTTTCCTTCTCTACCAAGATAAAAACTTGCCACATTTCATGTAGATACAGACAGTAGGTGTGGAATTATAGTCAACTTTCTTTCTCTGTTTGGTTAATTATCCAGCTCTAACCAAGATATTTGATCTTATATCATTAAGGCTACGAGGAAGGGCTTAGCGTGTTGGACTCATTTCTTTAGGTATAAAAATTTCATGAGATTTTCTCAAGTATTCAGAAAATGTTGGGGTTTAATTAGTCTTCAATTTAAGCAATACTTTAAAATATATAAATTTGAATATTAAAGGTTATAACTTGAAGCTGTGAAAGCCTAAATTCAGACTTGTTCCTTGACAAAAAAAAAATTCATTGTGAGTTAAAAACAAACTTGTGGAATTGTTTGTGTACTGATGTGTTTCAATTTTTTTTCTAGAATTTGTTGAATAAGCTATGAATGTGAACGATTATATTTAACTTGAAACCACTTGTTGCGATGGGAACCTCCAAATAAGTTTATTAGTAAATGAATGTATGAAGTTTGTGTTTATTAGTGTAAATTTGAAAATATAAAGATTTCATTCATTTTATATGCATTATGCTTGTGTCAGCACATGTAATATAAATATTAGGTTCCTCGAGAGTTTTTTCTTTCTACATTATCATTGCATTGCTTCATCTTTACATGTGCATTTTTAGTTTCAAAAATAATTTTACCACCTTCAACATTTAATTTCTGTTTTAGGAATTGATTCATGCAAGTGGTTACTAAGTGATGGACGGTTCCAAGGGTACCAGGTGTGGCAGCCTTATGGTTGTATGATGCACTCCTACACCAAAATGTAGGTAGAGACAATATGCTTTAATGCACATGCACCTTACTGTATATATTCATCTGTACAAATGTATTGAATAAGCATGCAGGTGATCATAATCACAACTTTTATAACTGATAAAAATAAGTGTTTTATTATAAATATCTATGATTTATTATTCTGATTGTTTAAATGTGTGGTGTATTCAGGTCAAACAGATTTTACTTAAAGGCAGTGAGACAGGTCTACAAAATAACAGGTGAATTGATCGGGATGCTTATTACAGAGTAATCTAATGATTATGTTATTATATCATAATTTTAGTAATAATCATCATTGTAACACAATTATCAGATTTTGCTGAAGATGGAATAAGTTATTCCGAAATGGTCGAACCTTGCAAGTAAAATGTTTTATCAACTGTCTTTATCTTCATTATTAAACTTTTGTAAAATTCTTGGGTTATGCAGTGCAGACTACATTACATAGTTGTTTCACAGTAATTTGCAATGACTTAAGAGCCATTAAACTCGAAACATTTTTTTTTAGGCAGCATAAAAAAAAAGTCAATGACAAATTAAACTAAACTGATACTTTTAAACTAAAATTCTTATAAGTCAGGATTAATATTTGTGCTGTTACTACAATACTTATCAACATATACTCAGATAAAAAACAGCTCCTTTGCTGCATGTGTAGAAGTTATATGTCCTTCAGATGTACTGGGAAAACTCTAACGAGGACTATGCAGTATTCTTCACAGTTCTAGCTACTCAGATAGTTTCTTGTAACATTCAATATATTGATCTGGAAGTAGGCAGGGGTTGTCCCATGTATCATTGGAACTCTGTCTTTCTTGTAGATTCAGCACTTCCTCATCCTGAACAGCCAGATAATTACTCGGCTCTTTCATCCACAATTTCAGAGTCAGAGTGGGATAAGACACTATTCTTCTCCTCATCTCTTCTTCTGACTTGTTCAAGCCAGTTTACCAGGGGTTCATATGCCACATACGAACATAGCAGGCTGATGTATACGATGCACTTTTGTACACCCCTAAGTTACTGTAACTTGTACATCAATGGGCCAAATCTTTGGAATGCAAAATGACATCTAGTCCATCCTGAGCCAAGAGGCTTCCACACTGCTTGCACATATCAAAATTATTCCTGGTCTCTACTTTGGTACGTTTATTCCTTTAGTATCGTATTGTAGCACCTTTTCTGTCATATGGTGGCCCTTCCTAGCATTTAACATGCAACGTGATGTAGTCCTTCATTTCAATGAGCATATTCTGAGAACAAACTGTTGATCTCTGTTCATTTGCACTAGTATGCCATTATTATGTACAGTAATTGTTCCCCCCATTGGTGATTAACAAACTTAGTAAGCATATGCTTGACAGTCAATATTTCCCATTCTACTAAACCATCAGACTGGGTATGGTAAGGTGAAATCTGTGTCTTCACTACACCCAACACATAGCACAACTCGAGGAATGGTTAGCTGCTGAAGTCAGCTCCCTAATCCATGTGGATCTCTTCAGCTTCTCCAAATTGGGTTACCCAATGCATCAGCCAAAGACTGCAAATGTATTGGCCAATGAATGAACCTTGGCCCATTCCCCTCGACGTGGATTCCTGTATGTGGTGAGGGGACCTCCCAGGGAAGGTTCTGTATTTTCAGTTACTTTCTCTGGGATCTAAACATGCACCCACGTGTTTGCCGTGCGTGGCGACCCGTGAAGGGGAGGAGAGGATCCTGGTGGTGTCTGGGGCACTGCAACACACCACTTTGGCCTTGAATTCCTGTAGACAGGTGGCCTTGGGGTGGCCCACCTAGGGTCAGTCGGCTGGTTCACTCGGGCTAGGGTCAACTGAGTACCAGTGTTGGGTGTTCTCAACGGGTGTTGTGGACATCGTGTCTGATACTGGTGTTTGGGTATAGTGCTCACGAAACCCTGGCTTTGCTGCAGTGTCCTTGTTTGACATTGTAGTGCGTCCCCTCATTGGACTTCATGGCGGGTGGGGTCAGTGGGCACTGAATCTTTCTCTTTAATTATGGATCCCCCCATTCCAAATAAAAAAAATGTTAAAAATCTGCTTATTGGTAAACGACCACGTCTAGAAAACTCTGAACAGCAGTCTCCATCACCCAGTACATGCACTCACTATCAGATAAATCTTTAGAGCAAATGTCTCCTTTTTTATTCAGAAGGGCTTAGAGTGGCTTGCTGGCTCTCCAAAGTCAGTTAAGAAGCTACGTTCTGGAGACATCTTACTAGATGTCTGATGATGACAAAACCTTGTCGAAACGTTGTACATTTGCTGTCATGTTAAACTTATATTAAAGTTTTTCTTCATTACCCATTTAAGCCGTCTCCAGCCATTATTAGTCTCAAAGTGGGTTCCTCGTCATCAAATTTGAAATCTTAGTAGAAACTTCCCATCCTTAGCACAGTGAACTTCTCTTGAGTTCAAAGGCC